CGTGCCTGGCTGCGGCTCTTAGCTCTGAGAGGCCGCTCTCAATCCCAGCCACATGCTCCCCAACACAGGTGCTGGACTCTGGTTTTACTTACTTGACAAGGGTTCGCCTGATTAGGTCAAGGCCACCCAATCCCTCCTTAGATTGACTCAAAGTCAATTGATTAGCAGCCTAATTACGGGAGAGATATCATATCATATCCACAGGTTCTGCCCACACCGGAAGTGATGATACAAGGTGTGCACAGCAGAGGGTGGGAGTCTTGGCAACCATCTTAGGGTTCTGCCTGTCACCTAGACAGGCCTCCTGGACTTAAATGAATCACTGCAAACAACAACAGCCAAAAGAGAAGGAAGGAAGGAAACTAATTTTGAAGACAAGTCTTAAAAGACACTCAATGCATTAATGTATTGCTGGTGTTGGAAAACCATTCCAGACCCAATTGCTAAGGACTTTGTGTCCAGGTTACTGCCCGACATTCAGAAATAAGAATATCAGGAAAGCTCAGCTACACCTATGAGAATAGCCAATCATTCATGAACTGTCCCCAAGAGGAAGAAGGGGACTGTATTAACACGTTCCTGATGGCTGCCATTACAAATTGCCCCACAACTTAGTGGCTTCAAAGAACACACATTTCTTATCGTACAGTTCAAAAGGGCAGAATTCCAAAGCTAGTTTCACTGGGCTGAGGTCAAGGTGACTGGCAGGGCTGCTGACTGGCAGGTTCTCGGCACAATCTGCTTCCATGTCTTCTCCAGCTTCTTAAGACTTGCTGGCATTGCTTGGCTTGTGCCTGCATGGCTCCAACCTCTGCTTCTATGGCCACATCTCCTTCCCCTCCTTGGTAGTGGGATCTTCTGCCTCCTTCTCATCAGGACCTCTGTGATCACACCCCTGGGCCCACCCAGATGATCCAGAATAAGCTCCCATCTCAAGATCCTTAACTACTTCACGTCCGCCAGGTCCCTTTTGCCATGGAAGTCAACGTTATTCAGCTTTTCATGGTGCCTAAAACCAAAGTTACAGTTTGCAATCCTGGGAAAATGGGTACAACAGTTATGATGGGGGGAGGGAATGGGGTTTTAGAGAAGTAGGTCATTTTTGTTACTGGCATCCGATGAGACCCATGTCTTATCTTAGGATCACGGGAATTGAAAATAACAGGTGCCAGGGCTGACCTCCTAATACGAACCATGCTTCAGACTCAGCTCCTGGATTTCTAAACAACAAATTATAACTACACACCTTCCTTCCAGCTGGGAAAACCTGGAAGACAGCCATCTGTTGCTCTGTGCCTTATACCCTGCACCAAGTTCAAGGGTTTTGGAGGCGGAGATGCCAGGCCCTTTCTGTTAAGACAACTTATCAACTCTCTCACCTTCCAAGATTGTCAATACCGTAGGACCTTCCTACCAAAGTGTATCTCGTGCCGGCTCTCCTTACTTCAGCAAGCCTATGGTGGTGTCATTTATGACGGACCATCAATTTACGTACTGGTAGCAAAAGGAAAATGCTCCCAATTAATTACAAAATACCATCAACTCAAAAGATACAACCTGATTTCAGAGATGCTAAAATGTGAAGTGGAAAAATGTGAGGGAAAACGTGCATCTTGGAATCAATGGGTCTATTTTGAGTCAAAATACATTTCTTTTGAGCCCCTCCTTCCCTGTTAACCTGTTAGTTTGTGATCCAAACAGCGAGGATGTCCGATGAACTCCTCTCTACACAGGATGGATCTAGTGCTACTTCCTAGACTGGGGCTTTCGGTCCTTTCTGCCTTAAGAGAGATCCATGCCCCCAAACCATGGAACCTGCCTACTATTTCCATGGCCCCCAGACATTATAACATTTTAATTTCTGTTTCCTTGGGGATGTGCCATTTTGCCCAGGAAGTTGAAAGCAGGGTCAGTCTTATGAAGCCCTTCCTCACTTGCTCCACTCTTCTTTGCAAAGGTCCTGAAGCAGAAGATAATCTAAACGCTGATCACAACTTCACAGGTGATCACCTGCCCTCAATGAAGTCCTAAAAATAAGTTCTCATTTTTGCTTTCTACTCTATTTAGAGGCCACAAAGCTTTGAAGAGAAAATGTCCATCACCTCGGACTTGGTATTTCTGCAACAGAACGTCTGTGCTCAAGGTCCATGGGCCTGGTGAAATGGTCGCTGAAAGATTCTTCCCTTGTTCAATGCCTGTCACAGAGGGATCTAGCTGGAAATTCAGATCCATCACCGTGATGACAGGAAAGTGAGGAAGCTTCTTCCGCCCTTACGCAAGTTTCGATTCATGGACTCGGGTCGGCTCTTCTTGGTTCTGACCATTAGAAGAAGTACAGGAGGAGGAGGAAAGAAAGAGCAGCAGCAGACGCAACATCATCATTCTTGGGTATATGTGAGAAATACGCCCACCGACCCAATCAAAGGAGGGAGGCAGAGTCTCCGAGGACAGTGACGTGAGGCGTTAATCAACAAAGGTTTAACCAATGTTTTGCAAGAGCAGGTATCTGATGGACAGGCACACTGGGGGCAGTTACAGCAGACAATTTATCTCCTAGCGCACAAGTCCCTCCCCTGATTCCTCACTGGCTGAGTACTACAGAGGTTACAGCCTTACCTGGAAGTCGCCTATGCCCATGTAAGGCAAAAAAAGTACTGGAACAAAAATATATTCTTTAAGGAGACACAGAGATTTCAGTTCTTTGGCACATGCTCATTGCAAAGCCCATGAAAATAAGCCCTCCAATCAGAGAGGGGGAGAACCAGGAAGTGAAGTATCTTAAAGGTTTGGGGCTCCATTGTGGGGAGGGGAGTTCATACATGTTCCAATAGATTGTAAACCCTATTGTTAATTAGACAGCACGGCTTTTATCTGGTATTTCTGAAAACGAATCATCTCCTTTCTCGCAGTATACATAGTTGTAAAGAGCACCCTTTGCCCCTCAGAATACGCCTTTGGCAAGCACTGGGCTGCGTCCTCAAGTACATTCAACTCCTGAGAGGGGCACGTTCCTTCTCAGGTCTGAGCCCCCACACTGTTGCGGCTACGTGTATGCTGGCAGCCTTCTTCCTCCAGATCAAAACATGACTCCTTTCTCACGTCCGGCGTTCCTGATATGGTATTGACTCCTCCGTGCTGATCACATCTGTACTCACCATCCTAGCATGAGTCCTGATCCCCTACTTAGGATGTGGGCAGATGGGGCGCCTGGGTGGCTCCGTCGGTTGAGCGTCCGACTTCGGCTCAGGTCATGATCTCACGGTTTGTGGGTTCGAGCCCCGCGTGGGGCTCTGTGCTGAATGCTTGCTCAGAGCCTGGAGCTTGTTTCAGTTTGTGTCTCCCTCTCTCTCTGCCCCTCCTCTGACTGCTCTCTCTCTAAATAAACTTTAAAAAAAAACCAAAAACGCTGAGTATTGAAATCCTAATTTCCCACCAACAGTGCAAGAAAGATTGGCCTCCAGCGTGTCTGTTGTGTTTCCTCAGCCTGAGACGCGACACTCTCCACTGCATTCATTTTGGTCTGTGCAGTAGGTGGACTCATCATGACCAGAACGTGTTCTCTTGCTTCTCAAAACTGTTTTCACATTTATAATTTATGCTTGTTTGCTCCTGGGGTTGTTCAGGATTATGAGCAGCTGTCAAAACAGACACCTTCTTACCTCTGGAGAAGCGAAAATGTCTACAGGAGCTTATGTTGTGCTTATTTATAGTCTGGCACATGCCTCCTGCTGGCACCTTGAAAAAAATACGTGGTTCACTTAAAACGGGATACTGGTATGTGTAAAAAAGCTTGGCTTTAAAAAAAAAAAACAACAGCAGCAGCGAAAGCAGAGGCAACCTTTTTCTAGGCCATTCCTTTTGTTTGCAGTATCTTCTTCCAACTCCTTCTGAGGCTGCTTTCCTCTGAAGATGTGCCCCCGTTCAAAAAGCACCCACGTTATAGTTGACGTGCCCCAGATGGCCACGTGGTGGCGCCAAAAGGTGCACTCTCTCCCTAGTTTGTGTGGGTGCTGGAGGCAGGGAGAGGGTGGTCCTTTCTGAGTAATTCAGAGGGACGAAGCCAGCAGAAGGGGGATGTCCAGATCTAAAGGGCAACCGATCCTCGTCCTTGAGGGCCATTTGCGAATATCCATTTTATTCAGGCGGAGACAGGGTGGGGATCTAAAAACGAACTGGTGGCCCCGTGCACTGCCTTAGGACGGACAGGCCTATGCATGCATCCGTGTGTCAAAGTCATCAGCACGGGGCCCCTAGAGATGTATTTCCAGGGTGGTCATCTTTGTCCACTAAGAGCGAAGGGACTCGGGCATCTCAAGAACAGACTGTGAAAATGGGGCGCCTGGGTGGCTTAGTCAGTTAAGCGTCTGACTTTTGCTTAGGTCAAGATCTCGCGGTTCATGGGTTCGAGCCCCGTGTCGGGCTCTGTGCTGACTGTCAGCTCAAGCCTGGAGCCTGTTTCAGTCTGTGACTCCCTCTCTCTCTGACCCAACCCTGCTCACGCTGTCTATCCCTCTCTCCTAGAAATAAATAAAACATTAAAAAAAGTAAAAAAAAAAAAAAAAAAAGAACAGACTGTGAAGGAACTCTGAAAAGCTACGAAAGCAAATCAAAACAAGACTCGCGCACCATTTTCCATCCAACTGGGGAAAAAACGGGTACTGGAAGACAGGGCTGGTGGGGACCCAAGAATCAAGTTCCCTCCCACATTGTTGGTGGGGGTTCAAGTTGGAACCATATCCGCGGAAGACTGTTGGGCAAACATTAGCCAAATCACAAACCCACGTTCTGTTGCTAGGAATTTACCCTGCGAGCCTGTTTACATGTGTGAAGGTCACGTTGGAACATGGTTTGCTACAAGATAGGGGGAAAAAAAGACCCACTTAAAACACCCATGATAGGAAACACGAAATTATAAACATTGACGTAATGGAATATTGTGCAGTAGTGAAAAGGGAGCGGGTCAGGGGAGCCCCACCCGAGACCACTGCCCATTTGTTCACCCCTTGTGAGGCCCTCCAGCCATCAGTAATGGCTTGCTCCAGCTCCTGCCAGGTGACCATGGTGACTTCTTCTCCAGCAGGCATCAGACTCAGCTTCCGGCCCACTATATCCTGACAGGAATCGACAACAAGAAGACAGAGAGACAGACAGACAGACACACACACACACACACACACACACACACAACCCTAGTTTAGTCCCTGAAAGCTTTAGGAACAGAAGAGAATCCATAGCCCCTGCCCCGAGGAGAAGACAAAAGAAGTGTCACTGTCCTTCACGTGACCAGTGATCTTGGGCAGCCAGTTTCCTGCCCCTGGTGGGGACGCCCAGGCAGGGATGGGGAGGATTTCCCCTCTGTCTAGGGGCAGTGCCCAGAGGGACACAGATCTCTGGGGTGGGAGTCCAGACACCCTCCCCGACCGCCTTCTTGAGGGCCCTTTGTCACAGAGCTTGCCCATATTACCAGGAAATGGTCCCGTTCTCTGATTATCTTCTCCAGTTCATCCATCCTCTGGAAGACTTTCTGGAAGAAGAGCTCAGAGATGGAGGATCAAAAGAGCCCATTTTGTGCCCCCGCCCATCGCCCCATGCACACCCAGGGGAGAAGAAAGGAGGTGTGCTGATCTGAGAGCAGTGGACGGTAGAGAGGAGGGTGGGAAGTCAAGGCTCCTCGTTTCCTTTCCAGGCAACTACAGGAAGGGAAGTGAGGGTGGGGGGCGGGGGAGGCCTGGGGGACAGCGTGCCAAGAGCAAATGCTAACACAGGGATGGAGCCTTGGGTCCTGGGGTTCATTCCACCCTACCCAGCAAGGAAAGAAGCATCCCAGCACTGTGAACCAGGCTGACTAAGCCTCTCAAGGACAAAAATGATCAGTGGTATTTCCAGGGTGTCTGAACGCCTGTGGGGTTTAAAGAGAAAAGCACCCTCAAAGAAGTAAGACAAATTGCTAAAACTTAAGTTGCTCCGTATGACTTCTGCAAACCTCCAGAAGGTAGGCATCTCAAGGTAAAAACACGACTTTAGTCTAAAAAAAAAAAAAAGAAAAGAAAACCCCCAAACACCGCATTTCAAAAAGAAAAGCTTCCCAGAGCAGAAGAGTCCCGCTGGGCGCTCAAGGCCTGGGACCAGGGTAGAAGGCGGTCAGTGGGCAGAAGTCCCCTGGAGGGTCCTGGCCCCCCACCGCCTGCTTTGAGCTGTTCTTTCTTCCCTTCAGTCTCTGGGGGGGCAGAGGAGGTTCTTCCTAATTGCCCCTCCCCCTCCTCGCAGCTCCAAGCCCCTGGGTGGCCCCCTGAGGGCCTGACATAGGAGCTTCCGGTTCCTACAGCGCCTCTGAAAGTTCTCCGAGAACTTCCTTCTCCGAGACAACGAAGTTCCAAGTGCAGGCGCGGCTGCTGGTGGGACCACGGCGCGCTCTCCACCTCCGGCCCTTCTCTAGGACTGAGCTTGTTTAAAGGAAATTCGCTCAAAGAATACTTTGAGAAGTTGCCAAAGTTGCCAGCTCCCCCCCCCCCCCCCCACTGGGCCGGTTCAGGATCCACGGGTGTCTGAGAAGCGGTGGTGGAGGGGCGAGGAAAAGCGCGGCGTGGGAAGGGGCGACTCAGATCCGCGAGGCGGGGGCCCCCTACCGCCGCACTCAGCGGGGCGCCTCACCTCGGATTGGTCCTGCGCCTTTTCCTTGGCCTCTTTCAGGGTTTTCACATCTTCTATGACATCGTGCAGCATCTCCATGGCCTGCGAGATGGAGAAGGGCCGCTGGGAGGCCAGGCGGCCCCCCACCCCCACCCCACGCCCCCCTGCTGGGGCGCCCTCCCCTCCAGCCTGGGGAGAGGCCTGGGCTCTCACCTTGGTGCCGCTGGGCGGCTCGCCGCCCTTCCCGAATTTCCTCGAGCCTCCTCGCGCCCTGTGCGGCACCAGCTGGGCCATCTCGTCGTCCAGCCGGTGCTGGGAGTCCGTGGGCCGCCAGTCGGCGGGGGCGGCGAGGTGCTGCATGTGGCTCACGACGCCCTGCACCTGGCCCGCGACGGCCTTGAGCTGCTTGCCCAGGTCCTTCACCTGGCCCTCCAGCGCCTGCGGCCTCGGCAGGCTGCCGCGCGCCTTCTCTTTGGGCGCAGCCAGCTGCGGGGCGCTGAGCACGGCCCGCGGGGGCTCCGGGGCGCCGCGGCTCAGCGCGGGCAACGGCGTCTGGAAGTCGGTGCGCTCCGCCTGCAGGTCGAGCTTGCGGAGCATGGCCACGATGAGCGTGTGCAGGGCCGTGAAGTTGACGGCGCCCGCCTCCGGGGTGCCGATGGCCAGGTCGGCCAGCTCCCGGAGGGAGACCCTGGCGGCCGCCATCGCGGGCGGGACCCTGCGCCTTCTCAGCGGGGGCCCGCGCCCGCCACGGCCCCCTCACTGCCCGCAGCGCCCCTGGCGCTTTCCGGAGCCCCAGTCACGGTATGCAGCCCGCGGAGAAGCCGGAGAGGAAGCGCTTTGCTCCCAGGGACCCGCGCCCGCCTCCCCGGCGGGGCAGGACCCCACCTGCCCTCCGCCGTGCTGTCTCCGCGCTCCTGTCTCCCAGCTATCCGCGCTTGAGCCCGGGGCCGCCCTCCCCTTGCTCAGGGTCGCGACCGGTGTGGACGTTTGGAACGGGAGGGACGGCCCCGTTCGCTGCCCGGCTGTGATCGCACCCCGCGCGCGCGGAGGGTTCTACTTATGAATGCGCGCGCCGAGCACCTCTGCGGGACCTGCCCTTAAGCGAAGCCACCCCCAAGCTCGCCAGGAGGGCCCGCCCTAGTGGGGTCCGGGGAAGCCTTGGCCATATCCGGAGGCACCACCATTGTCAGTGAATGCTCCTAAAGGGGCTGCGGGCATGTGCCGAGGAATTGCTATCGGGAGCACAGCATTTGGGGAGGGGGAGCCCTCCCTTAACCCCCCATTCATTCACTCGGCCGCCGCAAACAGAAAGATTTAAGGGACACCATGTGTGTCCTTGGCTCGTTCCATTATTCAGGGCAGCGGCGGGTATGTCTAAGGGGTGCAGTCCTGACTGAGACCTTGGCCTCTTGGGGACGTTTCCTCCTCACTGCTTCATCAGAAAGGAGGGGAACTCAGGAAAGACCACTCACTACCCAGGCAGCTCCGCTCAGCCACCACCTGGCAGACCTTTCCCACGCTACCCTGGCCTAGTTCATCATCTGGTCAAGCGCCAGCGTTTCAGCTCATTACAAGGCAGTAGACAGGACTAGAGGAATTTGGTTCTCAGCAACTGGGGCTCGTCTTCCCCATACCAGATTCTTCCAGGAAACAAAATTTCAATGTTTAGTATATTCAGGGAGGGAAAACCTGTGTAAAAATGCGTACTATTTTAACTAACTTTCAAGTTCAAAGTTTTAGGGGCGCCTGGGTGGTTCAGTGGGTTGAATGTCCAGCTTCGGCTCAGGTCATGATCTCACAGTTTGTGGGTTTGCGCCCCACGTCGGGTTCTGTGCTGACGCCTCAGAGCCTGGAGCCAGTTTCGGATTCTGTGTCTCCCTCTCTCTCTCTCTGCCCCTCCCCCACTCATGCTCTGCCTGTCTCAAAAAAAACAAGACAAAAAACCCCCCAAAACCCCATATTCAAAGTTTTAGCCTCAGCAGTAAAGTTTAATTGAAACCCTTCATTCCCCCCCCACCCCCCAGCCAAGTGTTCCCTGGGAGTGAAGAGGATCATCAGTCTATAACCTACCGGAAGGTTAACACCCAAGCATTTTCCTCCATCGCCATAGTCCTAGCACCTGACACCCCACAGGCCTTCACACGGTTGAAGATACTGTCAAAAGAACAAATTCTTGGGGCACACGGGGGGCTCAGTTGGTTAAGTGTACGTGTCCGACTTCAGCTCAGGTCATGATCTCATGGATCCACTCTCATGTGGGGCTCTGTGCTGACAGCTCGGAGCCTGGAGCCTGCTTTGGATTCTGTGTCTCCCTTTCCCCTTCCTCCACTCATGCTCTCTCAAAAAACAAAGCATTAAAAAAATAATAATAAAAAAGACCAAATTCTTTGCATATACTCAAGGCCAGATCACAAAGTGAGAGCCTTGTGATAGAGCATCCGCTGTCCTGGAGACTGCAGAACACGGGCTGCTCAATTCTGAGTTCGGTGACTTTCCAGAAAGATGTCACCCCTGCTACTGCTATGACAACGTTAGCTCTGGCCAGAATGTCAACTCCCTGGGTCCTCATGGTTTCGTTTTCAGATCCGAGACACTTGGCACCGTGCCAGGCATATATTAGGACCCACTAAATGGCAACAGAAAGGGCATATACAAATATATTCTAACTCGAGGAAATAAATTCTACTGCATGCTTCTGCTAAATAAGTACATATAAACATCTGTGTTCTTACAGACAGGAAAATAAGCCCTTAGCCGTCGGATCCAAACCTCCCTTTTCACAGCAGACGACAGAGGCCCAGGAAGCAGGCATCTGCCCGTTACATCAGAACTGGTTTCCTGAGTAAGTCTACCGCTCCTCCTCTACCACCGTGCGATATGAAAATCAAGTTCTTGCTCAAAACTCTCCTACTTGGGACTATTAACAGAAGGCAACATGCGTGCTTGAAAAGGATGATGTGCTCAAAGTCTTGACCGTGGCTTGGGAACCTTCCACCATTAGGAAGGGGATAAAAATGTCAAGGAAACATCCCTGCAGAGAAATACAATTGTACAAAGAAGCCAACTGTCTTTCTCTCAGGAACAGAACCAACACGCAATCCCGGCTCGCTGCCCAACAGACTCTGCTCCTTCCTGTAATGTCAGTCTGTCCCGGATTCGACCGAAGGTTTAAAAGGTCTACCTGACCATGTGCTATCAACTAGAATCCTAATTTTATTTTTTAAAAAATGTTGACATTAATGGGGCGCCTGGGTGGCTCAGTCGGTTAAGCGTCTGACTTTGGCTCAGGTCATGATCTCATGATTCATGGGTTCGAGGCCCGTGTCCGGCTCTGTGCTGACAGCCAGCTCAGAGCCTGGAGCCTGCTTCAGATTCTGTGTCTCCCTCTCTCTCTGACCCTCCCCTGCTCATGCTGTCTCTCTCTCTTAGAAATAAATAGAAAACATTTAAAAAAATGTTTAAGAGAGGACATGTGCGTGTGAGCAGGGAAAGGACAGAGAGAGAGAATCCCAAGCAGGCTCCTCGCGGTCAGCGCAGAGCCTGACACGGTGCACGATCTCACAAACCATGAGATCATGACCTGACCCAAAATCGAGTCGGGCGCTTAACCGCCTGAGCCACCCAGGAGCCCTGTGACTGGGTAATTTTAAATGCTGGGTAGAAGGGTCAAGTACAGCCCTAAGTAATGAAATACCCGTCAGTGTCACTTGTCACCCAAGAAAAAGTATAGCGGGTCCTATAGTTTTTTTTAATTTAGATTTTTAAAATCTATTGTTCCAACAAGGATGTGACTTGGACGCTTAGGAAGTAGGGTTTGAGACCAGCCATGGACCTGAAACACCTTTTATTTTGTACTCAACTGTCTTCCGCACGGCCTGGACAGAAGTCAGTCACCATGAGGGCAGGGGAGGGGGCGGCTCTGCAAGGCAGGGAACACACCAGCAAGCCCACAAATTCTATTTGCCGCTGAAGAGCAACGCAGGCACCCAGAGCCCGGCAGCTCCTCTCAAATCGGACCTCCTGCCTGGGGGCCGGGCCACACATGCTTTGTGGTTCAGCGGCCGTAGGCACAGCAGCGTCTCGCAGAAAAAGGGGGTTTTCTACAAAAGACTTCCGTGACGATGAATGGGGAGGGGACAGCTAGAACGGAAACAGTGCCAGGGCACTCGGCTCCCCTCGCCGAGTTCCACACGGATACACGCGTTTCCCTGCGGTGCAAACGGCCGCAGGTCACAGAGTTGAGACCTTATCTGTCTTGAACTCCTTTTCCATTTCAGTAAGATTCGGAGATGCTGTTCGGGAAGGTGTAACTTTTGTTTGAGGAACAGGATGACGGCGGTAGACATTTAAGGCCATTTATCCATTAGCTCTGCCTTCCCCTTGACTATCTTCACGCCTCCCACCTACCACACTCGGCAAGACAGACTACGTGACTTCAGGCTACTTCCAGTCCGTCCTCCCCTGAAAGGACACCCTGTATGGAAGTTGGCGGCACTGCTTTCCACAGGCTGTCCTCAGGAGCTCCGCAGTCCGTGGCAGCTAGTCATCCACGGTGATGTTTCGGAAAAGGTAGGCCATGGACTCCCCATTGTGGATTCTGCGAATCGCCTCAGAAAGAATCAGACTGATATCCACAGTCTTTATCTTGGGACACTGCAGCTTCTGCACCTCGTGAGGGACAGTATTCGTCACCACCACCTAGTCGTTGCGGCAACGGAAAAGGAACACTGTTACTGCTCCGGGCCCCAACGTGGCCACTCAGAGTAAGTTTAGCCAACCCCCTCCCCCGCCCCCAAGTTCCAAACTACAAAAACCTCACTCCCCCGAGTATCGTCTTTACAAACTGAAATTAACCAACACGACACAAGAAAAAGGTTACACGATGCAAAACAGAAGACTGAAGGTCACGGTCTGCTTATGCAGGAATGTCAGGCTGAGGGCCGGCACTGTGCCCAACCTTCCTGCGAGCAGGAGGAAATGCCGCCGTGATATCAAATGATGGCGCGACACAAGCTACACGCCAAGTACATAAAGCAAACCTTTGTGACAACAGACGCACGTTCCCAACTACACATCTGTCCCAACAAACTGCCAGCCGGCAAGGCCGCTACGGCACGGGCCCTCCAGAGAGGGGCTCAGCGATGCTGACAGAGCCATCTTACTCTCCACAGAAAAGACAGAAGCAAGTGTGGACGCAGGCGCAGTGTGCCGAGAAGTCCCTTAGGAGCAGACGTACCTCGTCGATGGAGGACTCCTCGATCAGACGGGGGGCCTCTGCGGACAGGATGCCGTGAGTGGCCATGACATAGATCTTGTAAGCACCTCTCTCTTTCAGGATCTCCGCAGCAGCGACGAAACTTTCCACATCATCGATAATGTCATCCTGAGGAGAGAGCAGACGTAGCAGGACGGAGCTACCCTCCGTCCCTAGAAACACACACCCTCTCCTCTTCTCTGCACTCGGGGGCAGAGGGGCTCCAGCTGAAAACCAGAGCTGTCCGCCTGGGTCCAACACTGGACATCGTGGTGGCCGGCAGGGCTTGAAGCCACATGGGACACGTACAGCTAGACTTCGGGTCTGCCGAGACTCATCTCTGTGTTCCAAGTGTCTGGTCAATCCTATGCAGCTAGGGTCCCACTTACTTTTTTTTTTTTCCCAAGAGAAAGTGAAATGACAGGAACACAGAAATAATGTAAGCCATCGTCGTCAGGCCCGGCAAAGGCACTGAGAGCTGGGAGCAAATCGATCGTGCGAACGTACAGGGAGCTGGACATTTGTTCTCATTCGTAAAAATGGGCCAGCTCATCGTTAGTTCACCTCGTGGCCCTGAAGCTGAAAGCTGAGTGGGTCGGCTGGTCTGATTAGAACCCAGAGCCCAAAGGCAAAGGTTATTTATGGGGTTGAATTTTCTGACAGGAGTTCCTGTGCTCTTTCTCCGTCTGTAGGTTATAATAATCCCTGTGCAACGATATGAAAATTTCTATGTGTCCTAAGGAAGGGAGTGTGGATGAGAAAGGACGGATGGCTCCACTGAACTCTGTCATCCTCACTGGAAACATAATCCCAAAGTGGACAGCCTACTAAGAGGCAGCAGTGTCATTCTGTGCATGAAGGACGACACGTGACCATGACCATACCACTATGATTGCGATGCGCCCGCCAACATCTCCTACTACGGTTATCGGTGGCTTCTCTTTGGCCATCATCACTAGCAAAACAAAACACAGCACAAGACCCCAGTTAGTCATGTGTCACTAAACAAGTACAGTCGTAACGTCATTCCCTGGAAGTGGCGGAAAAAAACCATTATTTACACACACACACACACACACACACACACACACACACACACACACACACAAATTCTCCTAAAGGAACCTAGGGCCTCTGAAACAGACTGTCTAGAGCAGTGCTGTCCAGTAGAAACAGGTGAGCTATATGTAATTTTATGTAAAATTTTACTTAAAAAGAGGGGTGCCTGGCTGGCTCAGTTAGTGAAACACATGACTCTAAGGTGGTGGGTTCGAGCCCCTTGCTGGGTGTAGAGATTACTTACATCTTTTTTTTTTTAAGTTTATTTTTGAGAGAGAGAGAGAGAGAGAGCGGGAGAGAGGCCAAGAGAGAGGGAGACACCGAATCTGAAGCAGGCTCCAGGCTCTGAGCTGTCGACAGAGAGCCCGACATTGGGGCTCCAACTCCCGAACCGTGAGATCATGACCTGAGCCAGTCGAACACTTAACCAACTGAGCCACCCATGCACCTTCTAGAGATTACTTAAAATCTTTAGGGGCGCCTGGGTGACTCAGCTGGTTAAGCATCTGACTTCAAAGGTCATGATCTCACAGTTCGTGGATTTGAGCCCCATATCCAACTGTCCAACTCTGTGCTGACAATGCAGAGCCTGCTTGGGATTCTCTCTCTCTGTCCCTCCCTGACGTACTTTCTCTCGCTCTCAAAATAAATACATAAACTTTAAATAAACTCTTTTTTAAAAAATGTTTTATTTATTTCTGAGAGAGAGAGACAGACAGACAGACAGTGTGAGCAAGGGAGGGTCAGAGAGAGAGGGAGACACAGAATCTGAAACAGGCTCCAGGCTCTGAGCTGCCAGCACAGAGCCCGATGCGGGGCTCAAACCCATGAACCGTGAGATCATGACCTGAGCCAAAGTCAGACACTTAACCGACTGAGCCACCCAGGCGTCCCTAAATAAAATCTTTGAAAAAAAAACCAAACCAAACTTTTTTTTTTTAAGATTACTGTTGGCTGCATTTGTTAAATGTTTATTTTTATTTATTCTTTTAAAGTTTATTTATTTTTGAGAGAGACAGAGAGAGGGCACAAGCACAGGGGAAAGGACAGAGAGAGAGGGGACAGGCTCTATGCTGACAGCAGAAAGCCTGATGCAGGACCCAAGCCCACGACCCGTGAGTTGCTGCTTAACCAACTGAGCCACCCAGACACCCCAAAATGTTTATTTTTGAGAGAGAGCATGAGTGGGGGAGGGGCAGAGAGAGAGGGAGACAGGATCTGAAGCAGATTCTGCACTGACAACACAGAGCCCAAGGTGGGGCTCAAACTCCCAAAATAAAATCTTTAAAAAAAAAAGTAAAATTAAAAGATTTTATTTTACCCAGTATATTCAAGATATTATAATTTCAGTATGTAACAGATACACAAACTTATTAGGGATGTTTTACTTTTTTATCGTAGTAAGTCTTTGATATTTGGTGTGCCGGGTACACAGACAGCACTGGCCAGGTTCCAAGAGGTTAAGAGCTGCATGTAACTAACAGCCACTAAGAAGTCTTCAGGGAGCACAGGTCTCAGGATAGAGCAGAAGAGCAAAGCAGATCTTATCGATGGAGAAGCGGCGCTGGGATACAAGAGAGAAATATCCGACTCTCACTGTGACCGATAAAGAAATGTAAACTCAACCCCACTCTGTAGAAAACGAAACTGGTAAAGGTGAGAGCCAGTTTTCCTTCATTTTCTTCCAAAGTGACTTTATTTGGACAATGTAACCCTATTATCAGATAACTGCCCTACTGACATCATCAGTTTCCTGAAAATTAGGAACTTGAAGACAATAACTATGACTCCATCATCTCTTCCTGATTTGACCGGGCCTTAAAGGAGAGACTTCTTATCTCACTGCACAGTTTATACGTGGAGAAGGCCCATCAGTACACAGACCTAACTACAGGAGAGAGAAGGGAAATAAGAATTCACCCTCAAAAGAAAGTTGGCAAACAGAAGAAAGAAAAATTTTTTTTCAGAAGAAGAGGCTAAGTATTCTACTTTTTAAAGCTTTTTGTTATTCTGAAGTATTAAGCCAGTAGGGGGAAAGGGACACAAGAATAAAACTCAAGGTCATTCCATAGGTCAGTAATTATCAGGAAACAGTCCGTTTTAATGGACTCCTATCTATAGGTACGGTGAGAGCCTCAAAGAACAGGCATGCCTCTCTACCTACCGGCAATCAGCCAAGCTGAAATCCAGCACTCTTTTACTGGCCAATTTCAATCAACATTTCCTGATTTCCCATCCCAGAAACAAGGGCAATTTTTTTGAGTCTGGGCAGTTAAAACGTATCACCTAAAAGAGGGAGAAAATAAGCAACCAACATTAGGAAAGGCTTCCCTAAATTCTGTCTTTAACTTAGACCATGTGGGTAGGTGGCTGTGTTGGGGTCCCCACTTCCTAGGGAGATGTGGTCCCTGGGCCACCTGGCTCAGTTGGTTGAATGTCTGACTTTGGCTCAAGTCATGATCTCGCGATTTGGGAGTTGGAGCCCTACATCGGGCTCGCTGCTGTCAGCGCAGAGCCCTCTTTGGATCCTCTGTCTCCCTCTCTCTGCCCCTCCCCTACTTACATGTTCCTAAAGATAAATTACAAAGAGAGAGAGAGAGAGAGAGATGTGGTCCCTGTTCTTGATCATTTTCTTCTGTGAAAAAAGAAGACTGCAAGCCAGTAACCCTCATCAAAGACCAATAAAAACGCAGCTCTAGTTTGATGCACAAAACAGGTCACAGTATTCCTATTTACTTTCTGGGACTCTGCTTCTCCCAAAAAACTTTTATCTGTTTGGAATGAAAAACAAGCATGGCTAGGATGGAGGCCTAAAAGGCTTTTTTTTTTTTGAACAGCAAGCATCTCTCCTGGTGCGCTCATTCCCTGCTCTTCACTGGGTTTGGGGTCTGGATAAAAGTGAACATACAATTTGGTGGCTACTAAAAAATACAGAGACTTTAGTACAGAGCCAAGGGAAATGAACAGTAGCTCACGAAGCCAAATTTTCTAACAGCTTGCCCCAAGATAAAGCACTGGAAATTCAAAATTTTCAGTAAAAAATTTCAGACATTTTCTCTATGTACCGGAGATTAAGGGTAAAGGGCGCTAAAACTACGTTATGTTTAAGATTCTGTTCTCGTGCTTCATTTTCTGAAATAAAACCCAGTCTGTTTAAGAATAAGATGAATTGTGGGGCGTCTGGGTAATTCCGTTAAGTGTCCAACTCTTGATTCAGGCTCAGGTCATGATCTCATAGTTCAGGGGATTGGACCCTGTATTGGTCTCTGCACTGACAGCATGGAGCCTACTTGCAGATTCTCCTTTTCTCTGTCTCTCCCCACTCATGCTCGCGCGCTCGCTCTCTCTCTCTCTCAAAATAAATATTTTTTAACGTATTTTTAAAAATCTAAAAAGAATAAAATGAATTGTACACCATCACTTGTGGTCAGAAATCACTGTTAAAACTGTTATCAACTTAATCAGTGAAAATGTTAATTTATGAATTATAACCTCATTATAAAGTAGGAAATTAGCTTTTGCTTTTAAAATTAGCCATTTTGCAAGCTGCATTTATAACCATCTTTAAGTTTTACATACTCTCTTTTACTCTTTCCCCAGAGTCAATTAACCAAAACTTCCTCTCTTGAAATATAGAGCAAGGAAGACCAAGGGGAATTATTCATTCCTTATGCATTCTGATCTTGTTCTATTTTTAGCTCAATGGAAGGTCAGACTTTAGCAACAGACTGACATTAAAAAGAGATATAAGGTCTCCGGTAGAACTAGAACTGAGGTTATTTTCAAGCTCCTGATTCTTCCCAATGCAAACACGTCAAAACTTACATGCTTTCACTTTAGTGGTGAAAACCGCATCTTCACACGTAAAGTTAACCACCCAGGAAAATCAAGCCAGCAAAGGTGACTCTCTCTCTCCTTTTTGTGATCCAAACTCTTGTAATTTTCACCAATGTGACAAACACATAGCAGTGCTTTGCAGAACCATCGGCCTATACTCCGTTCAAGTTCATTAAATGCCCTTGCCTTCAGGAGGGATTCAGTTCTACTTTATAAAACAGAAAAATTTATACAACCTCACTTTTTTTTAATTCCTTTTATTATTTTATTTTATGAAAAAAATTTTTTAATGTTTTATTATTTATTATTTATTTCTGAGAGAGAGAGTGTGAGCAGGGGAGGGTCAGAGAGAGAGGGAAGCACAGAATCCAAAGCAGGCTCTAGGCTCTAAGCTAGCTGTCAGCACAGAGCCCGACGCGGGGCTTGAACCCACGAACCGTGAGATCATGACCTGAGCCGAAGTCAGCCGCTTAACCGACCGAACCACCCAGGCGCCCCTACACAACTTCACTTTTAATCAGTTACTCTACATAGGGTTCCTCGGGCTCAGCCCTCCTGGCGTCTGGACCAGGTAACTCTCTGCTGCGGTGCTGCGCAGACTTTCAGCATTTTCTCTGGCATCTACTCACAGGCCACTGGTGGTGCCGCCTGCCCTCCCGGCTGAGATAACCAGAAAGGCCTCCAGACCCTGTGAAATAGCATGGGGTGGGGGGGTAAGGGGAGAGAGGGGCAGCAACGGAGGGAACGGCCCTGGGTGAGAACCACCACTGCTCGAAAAGAACATGTTCCAGGAAGATTAAACAGTTCGTCTTCCTAAAAAACGCAGACTCTGGTCCTTTCAGTCCAGCATCTTCAGCCTCATGACTATTAAGTAAACTATTAAAATGTACTGGGAGCATAACTGAGATATAAATATAAATAAAGCATGTTTAATTTGGAAGGTACCATTACACATTCAAAACTAGCATTTTTTTTTTAAAGCATTCCCTTCACTAAACCTGTAGGAAGGAATCAGAAAATGATCCTGTGGCAACTCTGGAAAGTAGTACTGTGAACACACCCGCGTGTGAATGAAGGAACACGCTGTTTTACACCATATAAAATATCACGATAATTCAGCAGTACCCTATCAAAATAACCTTTGGCCCAGTACTTTTATTCCTCAGTCTTTATCATGTAGGACATTCAGTCACTTAAGAAAGAACGGAAGCCAAGGTGAATCACAGGTGGTAAGGTACAAGGATCGAATGTACGCTCTCAAGTCCAAATCTTGGTTAGTAAACACCACTTCCCACTAAAGGAACTGGGGCTCCTTGTCAGGACCGTTGATTCCAGGGCTAAGAAAGTGCACGATAAATACGGAACATCTAGTTGTACCAGACAGCACGGAAGTATCAAAAATGATACGGACACATCAAAAGAACATGGGAGGGGGCTTGAAGGGGTCCTCTTTGGCTGAGTCTAAGACAATTTGAGCATTACAGGAAAGAGTAGCAATGGATTAGAACACGCTGAATAAATTAAGATTCTATGAATCCATCCTGATATAAGTGAAGGAATGAACAGGGCAGAAGGGGAACTGGAAGAATCACCATTTGACAACAACATAGTATCTGATTCAGCCTAATATGAAGAAATAAACAAGCCCCAACGAAGGGATATTCTGTAGAAGTGGCCTGTACTCTTTAAAAGTTTCAAGGTCGGGGCACCTGGGTGGCTCAGTCGGTTAAGCATCCTACTTCGGCTCAGGTCATGATATTGCGATTTGTGGGTTCAAGCCCCACATCGGGTTATGTGCTGACAGCTCAGAGCCTGGAGCCTGTTTCAGATTCTGGGTCTCCCTCTCTCTCTGCTCCTCCCCCACTCATGCTCTGTTTCTGTCTCAAAAATTAATAAAAACGATTAAAAAAATAAAAAATTAAAAAAAATAAATACAAGTTTCAAGGTCATAAGAGACCAAGAACAGAGGAGCTTTCCAGATTAAATACGACTAAAGGGAAATGTCAACTGAGTCTGAGGTGTGATCTTGTATTGGGTCCTGGGCCAGGATTTCCCTTTGCCCTAAAGGATCTTGGTAGGGCAACTGGTGAAACAGGAGTAAGGTGTGCAGATTAGGTAACAGTATTCTAACTGTCAGTTTCCGGAGTCTGGTCCTTGCACAGCGTTATGTAAGAGGATATCTGTTTTTATGAAATCTATCGTGAAGCATTTAGGGATACAGGGGCATTATGGCTGCAACTCACTCCCAAATGGTTCAGAAAAAGAGCCTGTATATTAATGTTAAATCTGGAGGTTCGGAGTGAAGGGCAGAGCAGGAATTCTGTGTTACTCTTTCAACTTTTCTCGAAGACTGCAGTTTGTTCAAACTAAGAAGCTGAGGTGTGGATCCGGGAGCCCGCTGGCTTCCCTCCAAACCCTGGCTCCACCAGCCCCCAGCTGGGTGGCCGTTTCCTCACTGGCAGACTGAGGGATAACAGAAGCACCGACAGGCGGCTGTACGAAGACCACATCTGGGGATCTACTCAAGAGCATAGAGTAACTCTTGACACGTAGTAAGGGCTCAAAAGATGTTTATTATTACCGGTGCTTTGTTTTCCATAACCAAAGACTAGGAAAATTCTACGTGCTCGACAAGAGGGGACTGATTCAAAAAATTATGGTATATCCATGAAGCAGGACACCATGAAACTATAAAAGACCGAGAGTTCTGTATAGACCGATAGGGAAGGGACGGAGCAATGTGGCATACGATATACTACCGTGTGAAAATGAGAGAGAAAGAGATACACAGAGTCTCTAAATGGATATAAGAAAACAACTATCTGCAGGTCAGAGTAGCTGGGGGAGGGGGTGTGGGGGAGAGAAAAATCTAGGGGGGTGAAGTTTAGATCTTTTTTTTTAAACATTATTTTTGACATGAGATGACCTTGCCACTGACATTATTTCTTTTTAAAGTTTATTATTTATTTTTGAGAGAAAGAGAACAGAAGAGGGGCAAAGAGAGAGAGGCAGGATCTGCAGCAGGCTGTGTAACGGCAGCACAGAACCCGATGTGGGGCTCGAACTCCACAACCACGAGATCATGACCTGAGCCGAAGTCGGATGCCCAACCAACTGAGCCCCCCAGGTACCCCAAGAATTTCATACTTTTAAAATATTATCAATGTATTGCCTATTCAAGACCTTTAATTATGAAATCTTCAAATAAAATAAAGTAAAACACTACAATACCAAAAATTTAAATTGACAGAGTATGTTATTTGTTTCTCTTATATGGAAACCTCCAGAGTTGAAAACAAAGCAATGGAAATTTGATAGGGTAAAAAAATTGAATGTTTCCACCTTAGACAGGAGTCTAAGTAACCTGGAGTATATTTCCCACCCTATTAATCTCTGTGTGTTTCTGAGGTATGGCAAATAGATACAGATTTGAAAAAGAAATAATCTTTGTGGTGCCTGGGTGGCTCAGTCGGTTGAGCACCCCACTCTTGACTTCAGCTCAGGACACAATCTCACAATTTGTGGGTTCAAGCCCTGCATCGGGCTCTGCGCTGTCAGCACGGAGCCTGCTTGAGATTCGCTCTCCCTTTCTGCCCCTCCTCTGCGGTCTTTCTCTCTCTGTCTCAAAATAAATAAATAAACTTAGAATGAGAGAAAGAAAGAATCTTCTTCCTCTAAAAAGCATATTGTATCTTCCAGTATAGAATGCAGGTCATTACCACTCAAAATCCATGGAAATAAATGGCCCCCACACTGTTGGATTAATAACAAGTTAGTCAAGTATCAGGTCAAAGGGCTATATTACTAAAAATAAGTGCTGAAAGTTACCTGGATCTCTAAAGACTAGTTAGTGTATGATCAGGGGTTGCTACTGTCAACCTGACCAAAGTATAAAAGCTTAAGGGGTGCCTGGGTGGCTGGGTTGGTTGAGCGTCCGACTTCGGCTCAGGTCATGATCTCGTGGTTTGTGGGTTCGAGCCCCGCATCAGGCTCTGTGCTGGCAACAAGCTCAGAGCCTGGAGCCTGCTTCAGATTCTGTGTCTCCCTCTCTCTCTGACCCTCCCCTGCTCACGCTGTCTCTCTCTCTCAGAAATAAAAAACATTTTTAAAAAATATATAAAAGCTTAAGATTTCACACCATGACACATACAACTTCTCCCCTAAAGCTAAAATGACTCCGCACTCTCTGAATGCTAAGTGCCACCCAGGTTAGTTCAATTGTCCTCACGTGGTCTGTGAATGTAACACAATCTCCTTTTACACCAGGGGAGATCAAGGAGACACCAGTCAATTATTTCAAATACCAAGACAGCATACACCCACAGACATATTAACTCCTAGCCAGTCATACTATTCCCAGCTTGCTTCTAGTTACAAGGGAAATCAAAACACAGAGCTCATCTTACACGGCAACTCCAGACCCGGGTGGACAGTGGCATTTTTGACCATCGGGGGAGAATGGCGGCCATCATCCATGTCCAGCTCTGTACACTGGGCTTCTCCGTGGATCACAGCCAACCCCAGACGGAGTCTCTCAGCATAGGACTGCGCCCTACGAGAAAGACAAAGGGAAGCGGCAAAGTTCATGGCGAAAAAACCCAAGTGTCACTATCTCATTATTTCATGAATCAAAAAACAAAAACATCATTCAGGCTTTTAGGGACACACAAAGGAAGTATTTATACAAATCAGAATATGAGGCCTAGGCCAGAACATAAGTGCCTCAAGAGGCAGACAAGTTGAGAGGTGGGCCAGCATCTGACTCTAGATAATTTTGGTTCTACCCTTTGTCCAATATTCTAACACTCCTCTTTAGAAGATGGAACTTCTTAAAAACCACTGCCTAGGGGCACCTGGATGGCTCAGTCAGATAAACGAATGACTTTGGCTCAGGTCATGATCTCATGGTTTGTGGGTTTGAGCCCCACATCAGGCTCTGTGCTGACAGTTCAGAGCCTAGAGCCTGCTTCGGACTCTCCCACTCTCTCTCTGGCCCTCCCCCCCTCGCACCCTGTCTGTCTGTCTGTCTCAAAAATAAATAATACATTACAAAAAAAAAAACAAAAAAAACCACTGCCTGAAAAATACTCATAACCCTGTTTTCGTGAAGAACTTCCTTTTCTCCCACAGGAAAACGGAGTAATTCCAAGACTGATCTGTACTGTTGGGAGACCATAAACAAAGCTGTGGTGGGGACAGGACACTAAGGGGCCAGGGCCGGGGGGTGGGTGGTGTGTGTGTGGCACGTGCTCAAGCCATTGAGCCTTTCCGGGCCACATTAGGACAGACCCTAGATTCCAAAACAGCTCATTCTGACTCAGAAATGCCCAAAAGGAATGTTTACAAATGTCTGGCTTCTTTACCTTTTGGCGGCATCAGGAGACTTCGCTACAATGACTGCATTCCTGTAATTTGGAATCTAGATTTGGGGGTGGGGGGGATAAGAAAATACTGGAAAGTTATGCAAAGTAACACTTGGACGCTGGTATGACACTTTTCCCTCTCCTAACAACGGCCCATACTAGCCATCAGACACACCAGGACTTCATTTATACATTGAAATTGTTTTTAACACTTATCAATTAACATCATTGCAAAAGTACTGCTATATCAAGAAGATAAAAGATAAGTAATTTTTAACGCCTTCATCTAAGAAAACCTAAGGTAACTGTTAAAAGATACTTAGAAAGAAATCTCTTTTTAATTTAAAAAAAACCATGACCCTCCATGCCTAGTGCTGACCCTGTCTGGTTGCCTGAGGCATGAAGACTCAAGGGAAAGATCATTTGATGTGCCTTTCCATATGGAAATCTGATACCAGAGAAAAGCTACATGGGGTCTCTTTTGAGGAAAATAGGGTGTTTGCTGGTGGCTCCTCACTTCTTCCTGGATATACTGAAGCAGGAAAGGTGAGGCTCTAAGGTTGTCCACGGGAAAGCTGAAAAAGCCTTGTATTTCCTTTTGATGAAGATCCATAGTGATAATGTGAGTTAAACCTGAAATTTTAAAACAAAAAATTACAAAGTTCACCCCTACAAGTTACTGGCTACAGCGGACACAAACTCGACGCCCACTCCTGCCTCCTAAATGAAGACTCAAAGCAGGGACCGTATTGCGAACAATCACCGTTAAGTTATAGAGACTTTATTTGTGACCTTAACAAACTGTAATGAACTAAAGAACGTGTCCAGCCTCCCGTGAAAGAGCCTCTGCCTTCCACATGGACACAGAGCTAAAGCAGAGAGAAAAGTGCTTTCCTCTACTATCATAACTAGCGTGTTCCTGAAAATGAAGAAAAACCAGACAGAGGCAAAAATATGAATACGGGATTCATAAATACTAAAGAAGTAATGGTGTTAAAAAAATAGTAAGGCCTTGACTAAAGGATCTCGGGGAGAAATGTTAAAAGGCCTGTGACTGAAGCAGAAGGAATAAGAAAACAAAAGCAAAGTAACATACGGATTAGAAGAAAAACTCCCATTACACAAAGATAAGATCTTCAAGAGTTTGGAGCAATTTCTAAATGTCATAAGAATGGGTCAAGAAGTATTCTTCTAGAAAAACAAGATACAGTTTTTTTTTTTAAATTTTTAAAAATGTTTTATTTGTTTCTGAGAGAGAGAGAGACGTGAGCAGGGGAGGGTCAGAGAGAGAGGGAGACCCAGAATCCGAAGCAGGCTCCAGGCTGAGCTGTCAGCACAGAGCCCGACATGGGGCTCGAACCCACGAACCATGAGATCATGACCTGAGCTGAAGTTGGATGCTCAACTGACGGAGCCCCCCAGGTGCCCCAAGATACACTCTTCTAATCAACAGTGCTGATCCAAAAAAGGTACATATGTAAAACTACTGCAAATGGCCAAAGGTCACCGCAAAACTTCTAGAGCAAAGAACCAGTATTTCCTGTTCCTCACCCAAAACATTACACATGTTTAGAGAGAACGGAATTCAAATGTTTCTCAGGACTCAAAATACATATTAGAGTTTGTAAGTAAACACGCCAGACAAATAAAATCCCAGTAACTATAAAGGGTTGTTACATTTGATTCATAGGCCAGAAAGTATGGTACCACTACAAAAACACAGACTAAAAGCAGTAAGAACGAGCTGCTATAGAGAGACACAATCAGGGAGGGGGGAAAAAGGAGTATTTTATAAACTGAAGAAGTAGCAAAAGAACAAACCTGGTTTTAATATTATGCACGTGAATGGCATTTAGGGAACCAAGGCAAATACATAAATCTAGACCTGACGCTCAAAAGATCCTATATGGATGCCAAGATCGCCGCTAAAGTTTTCATGGTAAGATGACATGGAAAAGAAGTGACAGATGATGAAAAAGTCCAAGATCAGAGAAGAGATGACGTCGCTCTCAAGTAAGACAAAGAGAACAGAAAAAAGAGAAGAATTTCGGCCCAAGCTCACATAGCCCTAACCAGAACTATCAAAAGGGAACAGGAAGAAAGTAATTCGTGAGCAACGCTTAAAATCAGTCCCAAATTAGCTCTGAGGCAGGGACTAATCTCAAGCAAAACAATTACAAAGTTCACGCCTACAAGTCCGTGTCCACACTCACCTGCTTTCGCCAGCATGGACGCCAGGAGCTTGCACACGATGGAGCCCCTCTTCCTCATCTTGCTCTGCTTGCTGTAGGGAAAGTAAGGGATGACTCCGATGATGTTCCTGGCACAGGCCGTCTTCAGCGCATAAGCCATGATCAGTAACTCCATCACCGCTGTATTCACGTCTCTGAAACAGTTAAAATTCGTATTTGGGGGTTAGTTTCATTTATTAACCCCTACAAGAGATCTGAATGTCAGGCTGCACACAGGCCACCAAGACGGGCGTCACAGGCATTTTTATCATCACCTAGCTTAAGATGGCACTTGTGAATGCAGGGGTGAGCCTGTTAGCTCTTCTTAGCCGTGGTTTTCATCTGCGGTTTCGTAAATCCACAGCATGGTTACCTGCACTCACCTTCGCCTGGGTCTTCTGTCAGTGATGCGATCACTGGGGTGGCGGGTGAGGCAGACGGCCACTCCTGGTGGCCAGAGTTAAGCAACACCCGCGGGCACCAGCCCAGGGGTGGGGGACTCAGCCCCTGCGTCCAGCGAACGCCAAGAGAGGCCCACTGTCCTGCTACGTAGCTGCATCGCCAGGAAGGATCTGGTCTGTTCTTCCAGGGGTAGCAGGTAGGGTGGAGGACGGGAGGTCTTAAAAATCTCCTCATCCCTTTTTTCTCAAGTACACAGATTCCCAACAACGGTTACTCAGAGGGAGACAAAGAAAGAAGTAAGATCTGAACATATTCAAAGGAAAGGCTACTTTCAGTTTTAATGAATGTGGATTGCTACTCTTTGCTGAGGCTGATGGAACCCAAGGGAGGCTCTGCCCTTAAAATAGGTGAGAAAAAAAAAAAGGTGAAAACCTCAGGGCGGAGGGGGGGAAGCTCTGAGACTAGAACGAAAGGCAGCCTGACAAGGTCCTACCTGAGTTTTGCGGAGGGGAGTTCCCAGGGGATCTGAGATGCCGAGGACTCTGCCCCAGGGCAGAGGCTGGCGGATGCCTCCTGGATGCCTCCTTGGCTGTCGCCTGGACACACTGGGCCACAGAGGGAGTTCAATGGCTGGGGTGAGGTACCCTGACCTCATATCCTAATTAAGACTACTCTCCCCTGCTCTCAAAAATAAATAAATAAATATAAAATAAAATTAAATTAAATTAAATTAAATTAAAAAAAGAGGTAAGAGCCTTGCAATCCTTCAGGACGCTCTTCCAATGGTCCTTGGATTATCCAAGAAATCATCAAACACCCTCTCTTTGGAGTCAGGAGTGGATCTCCCTTGCCTTCCCGAGAAAGAAGATCATTTCTGTGCCTTAGTTTCTACCCACGTGAGCAGTCGGCTCTCTCTCAGGGTCAGTCCTTGAACTGTATATGCAGCAGTGACACCGCCCTCATTTATGGCAAAACAGGAAAGCCTGCCATCAACACGGTACAGGCTTCATAATTTTCAAGTCATTAAATGAGATACTCATCACGGAGATTGCTTTGTGGCCTGAAGGGCGGGTGGTCGGGCCAATTCCTCTCAGTCTCTCTGAATTTACGTAGGTATAATGGCCTCTGCTGACAGGTTACATTAGTTTCCAGTTATTTCCTTCCTCTGAAGTAAACTGGAACATTTTTCCTTCTCATGCTCCCAAACTAATAATGTCCCAAGTCGGGCATCAAAAGGTTAGAGGACACACAATCTTTTGACAATGATCAAGACAAAACACTTATAAACACTTTCAAGGTGCTTGGGAATTCATTATCCCTGGCCAATTTTAGTTCACTCACATATTCAACACATATTTACTGAGCAACGTGTATCAGGCACCGTGTAAGGTGTGGGAGTTAAAATGGCAGATGAGCTGCCCACATCTGAAGAAACTGCCAGAGACTCACACCGGATCACCCTTGTGGTAATCATTTGTCCCAAGAAGGGGCACATCTAACTCCATGTTCCCCCGCCCTGACTTCTAGACTTTATTCCACAGAGGGGAGAGCTTCCCTTCCCCCATTAGATCACCTGAATTGGTGCCTTACGGGCTCTGAATGTTAAGCTGGAAGGCTACACGGTACCCGGGGGGGCAGTATGTAAATAAGTCAGGAGTCCACACCTAGACTCAACACCAGGCATCGCGTCTGCTAGAGCCAAAGTCCTCTTCCGCATATAGACTGCTGGACAACGTTGGACACGCAATTAGAGCTTTCTCTGCTGCCCGCGGGTGTGGTGCCGTGGGGGTTATAAAAGTTCCACCCGCTGCAGTTTCTCACATCAGACCTCAATGTCAGCAATACATTTAGGGTTGAAGTTAATATATTCCGGAAGAGTATTTGCCCAGGTGGCTGGGCTTTTAGCTGGCTTTGTAATAGCATTTATAACACGCAACCAAAGGATACAGTGAGGTGTGGACAGCACCCCTCCAGGGGCGCCCAGAGAGCAAAATGTTAACGTACCAAGACGAACAATTTTGGAAGAGCCTTGATTTCAGCGAAACTTCCCTTTCGTTAATTACTAATTTCTGCCATGGGGTTTCATTTGTTGCCTTTTCCTCTTCCTATTGACCAAGGGATTCAACATCCTCGGGCCCCAAAGCTAAGGAAAGCCTCCCACGCCCCACCCCTTGAATCAGGAAAGCAACAAAGGAGCCTTTGTCACCCTGGCTTTCCCCATTCAGCCACGGACACCAGAGAGCTGGCCAGCAGGCAGTGAATCTGAGGGCCAGCAGGGTGAAGACAGGTTGGCTGGCAGTCTCCGCTTTGTTTATCTGTTCCCTAAGCCTGTTCCAAGCACATCCTGGCTAGTTTTTGTAGTCTTTGTATCTAAGTAGGACAATCTTAATTGTTTACCAACTAATGGACTCATTTTTCTTTCCCCTAAGATAATCACATCCTATATTAAATTCGACCCTGACTGCTCTGTCATTTTTGATAAACAAAGATAAACGTGAGGTGAGGAAGCAGGCACGGTGTGTATGCATCGGTTGATGTGCGCAGCACTGCGACGATGGGCCATCACCACAGATGGTAACGATGAGGACCCGGTTACGGGGTAGGACTTACCGCACCTCCAACCCCACGAATTAATCATCTGCAGCAAATAAGTTATGTTTTTTAATTTTTAAAGTTTATTTTTAGAGAGAGACAAATTGTGAGTGGGGGAGAAGCAGACAAGAGAGAGAGAGACACACACAGACAGAGGGAGTATCCCAAGCAGGCTCTGCACCGTCAGCACAGAGCCCAACACGGGACTCAAACTCACAAAACCGTGAGACCGTGACCTGAGCTGAAACAGGCAGACGCCTAACGGACAGAGCCACCCAGGCGCCCTGCAAATGTTCTTTTAATGACTCCTCTTACATTCTGTCAACACATTGGGCCTTGTAACATAAACACGGAAACTGTCCTTCAACAAAACACTCTGTAGGCTTCACCTCCATTCTCCTCGCTTCCGTCACTCAGTACATCTGGGAGCTCCTGGGGTACTGATGTGAGATGTTGGGGTTTGGGAGCAAATGGTCAAGAAAGAATTCTTGAGACGCCTTTGGTGCAAAAAGCGCTGTTTTATGAAAGCGTGGGGTACAGCACCTGTGGGCAGAAAGCGCTGCGCCGGGGTTGTGGGGAGCGGCTGATTACAGACCCGCAAGTCGGGACGGGGTCAGGGACAGCGCGAGTCTCTAAGGAAGGTGGAAGGAGCGGGCTGTCGCTAGGAAAAGGTCATTTACTGTCCGGCACCCGCAGTCATGAGACCCTTCAGATGTCTATCACAGGCCATACGCTTGCAGAGTGACTGCTAGCCTGTATCTCGGGGTGGGTGGGGGTGGGGGGAGGTTAGAGATAAAGGGAGTTTCCAGAGGGATTTTTTTATAGATCTTGGAGGTTGGACTGCTGTCAAGCTAAGATTGCCTCTTGCCTCTAGCGAACTAATAACACGGAGGCAGCTAAGCTCTCTGAGGAAGGTCATGCTGAGCTGTGGGTCTCCAGTACTTAACGGGCTATTAAGTTGTAAGGAAGTTTAATTACTTTTCTTTGACTTTGTTCTCCACATCCTATATCACAGGTTTAAATCAATGGTTAGGCATCCGTCTTCAGCTCAGGCCAGGATCTCATGGTTCGTGAATTCGAGCCCCATGTCGGGCTCTGTGCTGACAGCTCAGAGCCTGGAGCCTGCTTCGGATTCTGTGTCTCCCTCTCTCTGTCTGCCCCGCCTCCACTTTCTCTCCCCTCTCAAAAATAAACATTAAAAAAAATTTTTTTTAAACATGCAACATAATCATTTGATTCAGAAAGGCTCTCTGCCACTTCCAAAAATTGACAAGGCAGCGTCACTCTCCGCTGGTGAGCGTGACACCAGGGGGCAGCCTCGGTGACAGAGCTCCCACACTCTCCGCATGTCACCCCCAGGCAAGACCCTTAGGTCTTCCCCTCATTTCAAAAAACTTTATTTAATGTTTATTTTTTAATTTTTTTTTAATGTTTATTTTTGAGAGAGAGAGAGAAGGAGAGAGAGAGACAGAGCACGAGTGGGGGAGGGTCAGAGAGAGAGAAACCCAGAATCCGAGGCAGGCTCCAGGCTCTGAGCTGTCAGCATAGAGCCTGACGCGGGGCTCGAACTCATGATCGTGAGATCATGACCTGAGCCGAAGTAGGACGCTTAACTGATGGAGCCACCCAGGCGCCCCTAATGTTTATTTTTGAGAGAGAGAGAGAGGGAGAGAGGGAGAGAGGGAGAGAGAGGGAGAGAGGGAGAGACAACGAGCAGGGGAGGGGCAGAGAGAGAGGGGGAGGCACAAATTCTGAAGCAGGCTCCAGGCTCCGAGCTGTCATTGCAAAACCCGATACGGGGCTCGAACCCACAAACCGTGAGATCACGACCTGAGCCGAAGTCAGACATTCACCCAGGTGCCCCCTTCCCCTCATTTCCAAGCTGCAACATCGGAAAAAAGCACGAGGCAAAAAGCGTGCCATAACTGCAAGGAAACCAGCATGAAAGCAAATCTGCCAGAGGCCTAGCGGGCAATACAGAAACAGCCATCACATTGCGAAGTTCCAAGCATCCATCAGAGCCGCCATATCTAACTTACTACGCCCAGCAATTCCATTTCTCGGAGTCTTCCTAGGGATATAGGACAATAGGATGTACGGATGTACCGGGCGCAGGCACCCCCAGTATGGGCTCCAGAGGAGGGATTCACCCCCACGGGGGAGGGAGGGGCTGAAAGTTCCCACCCTCTACCCTCTGCTGGCTTCCAGGCAAGGAGGAACCCCCATCTAGTGGGGATCTAGAGGCTTTCCAAAAACCATCGAATTAATGTCAATCAGGTGTGGCTGAAAGGGGCTTGTTATGAATAACAAAAGACACTTTCATTGCTCTTATCACCTAGGAAATCCCACGGGTTTTAGGAGCTCAGAATCAGGAAAGGAAGACCAAATGTATATATATATATATGTGTGTTTTTTTAAGATTTTATTTTTAAGTCATCTTTACACCCTGGGGCTCGAACTCACAACCCTAACTGTGATCAAGAGTTGCATAGCTCTACCAACTGAGCCAGCCAGGCGCCCGCAAATATCCATCTCTTATTATAAGTCACATCTGCACTGAGGCTACGAGTAGCTTCCACGTGGGATTTGGGTTAAGGACCAAAGAAGATACATGGAAGAGGCTGCGTGCTGCAGCCTTCGCTGCCATTGTCACTACCACAGTCTCAGGAATGGAACTAAACCCAGACGGAAAGGTCTGCATTTTCCAGAGACACACAGAACCCAACTTTCCCACTCCCTGGTGGGGGAGGAGAGGAGAGACTCCTGCAAGGAAGGTCACCTTCAGGGAGGCTAGGATTTCCCGGCGGGGAAGGGGTGGCAGGTGCCATCCACGGCAGAGACAGCTCGAAATGGGCCACTGTGCAAAAAAATAATTTAAAAAAGTGCGAAACCGGTCTGGCTGGGTACGTGGGTGACAGCCGTGCACTGCATTTAACCACGAAAAGCTGCTGAGCAGAGCTGAGCAGACGTGGGCTGGGTTCTTCATTGCATGTGAAGGTAAGATATTTTTGCCTCTGAGTGATTTAAAGCTTGGAGAGGACAGTCAATAGTACAGCGTGACAAAGCGACAGACAGGGTAGGGATTTCAAGAACCTACAACTGGTTTTTTGGGGGCAAGCGTTTAGTTTAATGTGCAAAGACGTTTACAGTGAAAGCAAATGGAACTGTCATTTCTGTGCTAACATAACGAATTACATCGCTAAGGTTTTTAGAGGAAAAGGGAGGTAGAAAGTAGTGCTCTTACCTGGGTATTGTTTGTATGATGAAAATATCTTGGCCCCGAACAGATTCTTTTATTTCAACTCTTGTTTCTGAAAAATAAAAAATAAAAAAACGTTTCTAGTTTAGGTATACTAACAGGGCTGCGTTTGGAGGGAGTGAAGATGAACCTAACCCGACACCTCATCTAGCGCACTAAAATAATTCTGAAAAGGTCTCAGAATGACAAGCATCCATAAAAAATAGTGAAGCTAAAGGGAAAATAAACCAAAAATACGCTAAAAGGCAAAAAAGTAACACAAACAGATCCACATAAAATCTCAGGGTCCAAAAAAGAAAACCCATCACTGAAATAAAGACAAGGCACTTGGGGGGGGGGGGCGGTCAGAAGTTAACATCCTTCTTTCCACAAATGCCGAGGCCCCCGCGGCGCCAGGCCCAGTCCCAAGGTCTCCAAGCAGCGGACCAGACCCAGCAGGTGAGGACTGATCCAGGAGAGGCGACGCAACGCCAAAGGCCAGCAGACTTTCTCAGGCCAATGCGACAGGAAGAGACTGAGAGATGGGGCGCCTGCCCGGCTGGCTCAGTAGGCAGAGCATGTGGCTCATGATCTCAGGGAGGAGAGTTCGTGCCCCATGTTGATCATGGAGCCTATGTAAAAAAAACAACAAAAAGACAAAGACCAGGAGAGCGAATAGTAACAAGAGCTCACTGCAAGCTGGATGGAGTAGGGAGGAAGGGAGCAGCGAACAAGCAGAGACGGGGGGGGGGGGGGGGGGGGGGGGGGGGGGGGGGGGGGGGGGGGATGGGGGTGGGGGGTTGGGGGATGGGGTTAGGGGGCCATCCACTTGGAAAGCACAGCGGGTGAGGAGACAGACAGGTTCGGTAGCCAGCAGGGGCCAGACCCTGTAGCAGCGCGGACTTTATTCCAAGGGTGACAGGACAGCCCCTGGAAGATTCCAGGACGGGATGGGTGTGATCTCTGGCTGCTGCGTGAAGAGCCGCGGAGGGCAACATGGGCACCAACGAGACCATTCCAGTGGTTTCTGAAGGTGTCCGGGCAAGCGGCCGAAGGCAGGCTGGACCAGAGCCATCAGGGGTCAGACTGAAGGTGTGTTCTGGAGTCAGCACATGTGACAGTGAGGGGGCAGGATTCAGCTCTCAGAGGGTCCCGTGTGAATGCTAACGAGCTGGACCCTAGCCTGCAGGATTTAGGCAGTAGTGAGTCAAAAACATTTGCGTTTTGGAAGCATCCTGGTGGAGGTGAGGAGAATGGACTAGAGAGAGATAGGAAGGCCTGTTAGCAAGCTGCTGCGGAGGAGGTGGGGAGGGAGAGAGAAGGAAGAGGGGAGGGCAGGGAGAGGTGAGGACGGAGTGGGGGAGGGAAGGAGGAAGGAGAGGGTTTGGGAGAGGGAAGGGGGCAGGGGGAGGCAGGGAGAGGGGAGAGAGAGGAGACCTAGTACAAGGATGGAAGGAAGGATGGAGTAAAAGGTCTTCATTAGGGAAGCCTGGGGGGCTCAGTTGGTCAAGCATCGGACTTCGGCTCAGGTCATGATCTCGTGGTTTGTGGGTTCAAGCCCTGCGTCAGGTTCTGTGCTAACAGCTCAGAGCCTGGAACCTCCTTCAGATTCTGTCTTCCCCTCTCTCTGCTCCTCCCATGCTTGTGCTCTGTCTCTCTCTATCTTTCAATAATAAATTTAAAAAATGTTAAAAAAAATTAAAAAAAAAAAAAAAGGTCTTCATTAAACCACCTTCTCATCCTGGAGTGTTTCATCTCAGGGGATCCCCAAATGCCATCACCGTAAATGAAAATTGTTATTGCTAAATAGACAAGCTCTTCTACCTGATTCATCTTTAGGTTCTTTTTAAAAATTTTTTTAATGTTTATTTTTGAGAGAGGGACAGAGCGTGAGTGGGAGAGGGGCAGAGAGAGAGGGAGACACAGAATCCAAAGCAGGCTCCAGGCTCTGAGCTGTCAGCACAGAGCCTGACGCGGGGCTCGAACTCACAAACCCTGAGATCATGACCAGAACCAAAGTCGGACACTTAACCGACTGAGCCACCCAGGTGCCCCAGTTCCAAACTCTTTTATATTAACTTATCACTGCAGGGCACTGTACAGCCCGAAGTATGCGGCCCCACTAGAAAGATTCCGAATCCGCATTCCTAGGGCCCCGGCGATCCACAAGGTGCTTTCAAGCATTATCATTTAATGTTACAATTTTCCACAGAAGCTCAGAGGGCAGCAAAAATGTGTTACCAACCCAGGAAGAGAGTCTATGAGAGACCTGAGGGCAAAAAATTTAGAGATGAAAGAACTCGAAGATGGTTTTTGTAAAAAGTCATTACTACCTGCTCCCAGATTGCTCTTGATGCCACCTGATGACACAGGAGACATAGATGCAAAGGGTATTTAGCAAAGGTAGCCTAATATAGGAGAAAAAACATATTCTCTACATCTCTCCTTTTGTCATTGTGAGATGACAAGACATTCACATTATCCTGGAAGAAGGGGAAGGAGACTTTACGAAAGAGAACAAAGAAAGATTTGGACGCAAGTAGTGAATGATCTTAAAGGGAGAAATGTTTCCATGTTACATGGGAGTAATATCAGCCTTTTAAAGACAGGTCAGTTGAGGGGATCCTGGGTGGCTCAGTTAAGTGTCCAACTCAGGTCATGATCTCACGGTTCGTGAGTTCGAGCCCCACGTCAGACTCTGCGCTGACAGCGTGAGGCCTGCTTGGAATTCTCTTTCTCCCCCTCCATTCTTCCCCCTCCTGCTCTTGTGAGCTCTCTCTCTCAAAAATAACTAAACATTAAGAAACAAAACATGTCAAAAAGAAAAGAAAGAAACAAACAAAACATGTCAGTTGACTAAACATAGTTCAGAGAACAAAGGATGTTTAGGAAATCACTTTAACTTACCTCCATTGGTCTCCTGATAGACCACTGATTTCCCCAATTCAGCACCAAGACGCCTATGGGGAGAGGGGGGAGGAAATAAGAATGCTCTTTAAAAAAACAAGACTCCAGTTGATATCTGTACGTTTGGCAAAAAGGCTAAAATAACTACCCTAGCATTCTTTCCCCAAAAAACCAGAAAGTTCAGAAAGTTTAATGCATTAAGAGCTATACATCCACCACTGTTTCACAAGCAGCTTCAAGTGCCCACCATTTTGTAACATGCTGCTTTACGGGGCAGGGTTCCACAGCCAAAGTTTAAGGTCTAGTTTATGGTTTTCTGAATAAAGGTCTTAGAAAACCATTCCCAAACAGACGCTTGGCTACTAGCACCAATTCCAAAGCCACAAACCACAGGGAAATGCCTCCACTGTCAACAGCATATAGACTTCAGTGCCATTGACCAAATGCAGTGTGAATGTTGTCTGGGGTCCTGATTAGAATAAACGAAGTACAAAACGTCACTTTTGAGACAAGGAGGGAACTATGAACAAGGACTTGATACTAAATGATATTAAGGAATTAATTGGGGCGCCTGGGTGGCTTAGTCGGTTAAGCGTCCGACTTTCGCTTGGGTCATGATCTCGCGGTTTGTGGGTTCGAGCCCCGGGTCGGGCTCTGTGCTGACTGCCAGCTCAGAGCCTGGAGACTGTTTCAGTCTGTGACTCCCTCTCTCTCTGACCCTCCCCTGCTCACGCTGTCTCTCTCTCTCCTAGAAATAAATAAAACATTAGGAAAAAAAAAGGAATTAATGATGTCATAGATTGTGGGTTTTTTTTTTTTTAAGATTTTATTTTTAAGTGATGCCTACACCCTCCATGGGCTCGAACTCACAACCCCAAGATCAAGAATTGCATGCTCTACCCACTGAGCCGCTCAGGCACCCGTCATAGGTTTTTCTGGTTATCGGGTAGCACTTTAGTGAGCGAAGTGCTACGACGTGAGGGTGGAAATCTGCTTAGAAATACGCCAGCCAGGCCCGCAGGAACAGCGAGGAAGGCCGCTGGGCTGAGGAGGCCGTGGCTTTCCAGGGCCCTCTGGCTACGTGTGCGATTTCAGACTGCCGAGGATTCACTACATCCATGGGCTGCAGCTTTCTCTCCAGGCTGCTGTGGCGGAACCAAGAAGGGCGGCTCGTGCAGACTTCTACAGAAATCACGATCCCCTAAGAGATTCTGAGATGAAGAAGGCTGGTGTCTCAGAGCGCAAAGTGGTTTTGGAATGTCGAGAATTTGCTGGGGTTGGGCTCCATGGCAGTTTGTCACTGACCTGTGTTTCCTAACTATGAAACGCGGATCCTGGGGTATGAAATAGTTTCTCTTGATAAACAAACAATTAACAAATACTGTGCACAGTACAAATAAGTAGAATTATCCCAGTCAAGTCAGCCTTAAAAAGGACTGAAATTCTGATACACGCTGTAAGACAGACAAACCCTGAAAAATTATTTTAAGTGAAAGAAATCAGACACAAAAAGACAAATATTGCATGATTCCATTTATAAGAGGTACTTAGAACAGGCAAATTCGGACACAGGAAGTAGAAGAGAAATGACAAGGGACTCTGGGAGGGTAGGATCGGGGACAGTTAGTGTTCTACGAGTACAGAGTGTCTGTTCAGGATGATGAAAAAGTTCTGGAAACGGATACTGGTGTCAGCTACACAACACTATAGATGTATTTAATCTCACTGAGTTGTACACTTAAAACTAGCCAAATGGTGGGGCACCCTGGTGGCTCAGTGGGTTAAGCATCTGACTTCAGCTCAGGTCATAATCTCATGGTTCATGGGTTCAAGCCCCACATCAGGCTCTGTGACGGCACGGAGCCTGGAGTCTGCTTCGGATTCTGTGTCTCCCTCTCTCTCTCAAAAAACGAATAAACATTAAAAGTATTTTTTTAAAAAGGTTCAATGGTACATTTTATATTATGTATATTTTACCATAATTAAAAAAAAAATTCTCCATGATTTTTTTACAGAGTAAAACCTGGCTGGGTCAGTCAGTAGAGTAACTCTTGATCTCCCGGTCATGAGTTCAAGTTCCACGTTGGGTGTAGAGCTTACTTCACATATTTATTTATTTTTTTTAAGTTTATTCATTTTGAGAGAGACAAAGAGAGAATGCGTGCGTGCATGCACACGAGCAGGGGAGGGACAGAGAGAATCCCAAGCAGGCTCTGTACCGTCAGCATGGAGCCTGATGTAGGCCTCGAACTCATGAACCATGAGATTATGACCGGAGCCGAGACCAGGAGCCAGATGCTTAACCGACTGAGCCACCTAGGTGTCCCTAGAGCTTACTTAAAAAACAAACAAACAAAAAAAAAGAATACTCCAGCCAAAAAAAGGTGAGAGAGAGGTAAAGTTAATGAAATAAGACTAACAAAAAGTTGCTAAATTGAAGCCAGATGGACACTGGGGATTAATTATAACTTATACACATCCTGGGAATCTGGCACACCTAACTTTTCTACTGATTCAAGTGCAAAACCAAAACAGTTTGAAAATCCCTGCTTGGAAGTTCAGATCCAAAAGCAGTCACGGAAATAAAATATCTTAACTTCAGGAACCTTGAAACTTTGCTCAGGGGTAAAAACCTTTCTTCAAATAAAATCTTATTCAGAAACTCAGCATATGAAACAGATAGAGGAAGTATTTACAAATAAAATTTACAGTAATTTAAAACATTTAAAACATTTCTGGGGGCGCCCGGCTGGCTTGGTTGGAAGAGCATGGGACTCTTGATCTTGGGGTCACAGGTTGAGCCCCACACTGGGGGCAGTTGATTGCATTAAAAACTAAAATCTTTCCAGTATTTCTGGAACAAGGCAGCGAAGAACCCAATATTAAAACAAAAAAGCAAAACCATCGACCTTTTAAATGTGCCCTCCTCTCTCTGCTTTCTCTCAGCAAGGTCACTGTGGCAAATCTGACCCAAAACAAACAAACAGGAGCTTTATATTTAAAGTTAGCATTTTCATTGGCCTCAAAAAGCCAATTTATCAGGGGTTAGAAATAGAAACGAGGTAGTAGATTGCAAAAGGGTTTACTCTTCTAATCTCATGTATAAACCCGACTGAAGAGTCATTACTGAGAAAACAGGACTAAGGTTTCCCTTCCACACTGCCATCCAGAATCCAAAACTACATCCTTGAAGTTATTTATCAGCTCTGAAAAACCCAGAGAAACTCTAATGTAAACTGTTTTAAGATTTAAAAATGACTTTAAATGTTAAAAAGGAAGTTATTCATTTATATCTTAGGTTTGTAACAAGGTTTTCTGGAAAGGGCTCCTAAGGCTCTTCCTTTACATTAGGGCTCTGGGACTCTCCAAAAGAGCCAACTAGAAAAGAGTTCTTATTCCGAGGGCCACTGTGAGCGTCTGCTCTGCTACTAGCTTTATCTACATTATTTTGTTCATGTTCACGATGTTCCTGCCCAGTAGATAACAGCATCGTCCCTATCTTACCAATGGAATTCAGGAAAATCACGTCTCTTGCCCAGTGCCACTGGGTTAATAAGGTGGCAAGGCTGGGAAGGCATCTCAGAGCTGTCACACCCCAGAAGCCACCTGAGATCACAGGCTTTCTTGGGTGTAAAAACACACGGAAAGGCAAAGACCTTCCATCAAATGATCGAATCAAGAGGTGCCTTAAGAAATAAAGTTAGACGTATTTTTGTCAGCAACTCCGACCAATGTGCTCCCCTGGGGTTGCCCCATCCGCCCTGCTCTCCCCTCCACCTCGGCTTGGGTGGGTGCACCCCGCGCCTGCCACCTGCAAGGCCCTCCCGCCGCCCCCCGCGGAGCCCCCCTCCGGGCGCAGCGCCCCCGGACTCCGGGTCAGCGTGTTCATGCTCGGGGACCTGCGGGCCTCGGGCCCACCGACCGACTAGGCCTGGGAGCCGAGATGACCGGGCTCCCGGCTCACCGCCCACTGTGGGGCAGGGGGCCGCACCCAGAGCCCCTCCCCCCACTCAGGGGCTCCCTGCGGGGCGACGGCAGCCTCGCCCCTGCCCGGGAAGTGGGAGCCGGGCAGCCCGCGCGGGGAGAAGTCGGAGTCCGCCGAACGCGTCTCGGGGGCAGAATGGCCACCCGCAAGGGTCGGTCCGGCCCAGAACCCGCGGGCCCGCGGCTCCCGGCGGCCCGGGTCCGGGGCGGCGCCGGGGGGTGGGGGGGAAGGGGCGTCGGGACCGCTCCCCCCTTCCCTCCCGCCCCACCCCCCCGGCCTGGGGCCCCGCCCCGCCCCCTTACTCGGTGATGCGCTTGGCCAGCTCGGTGCAGGCGGCCGTGGAGTTGGCCGAGAAGACCCGGTAGCCGGTGCGGGCGGCGTTCATGGCCGGGCGGGCGGCGGGGCTGGCTCGCGGGGCGCGGAGAGTCGAGGACGCCGAGAGCGGGGGCAGCAGCAGCAGCTTCTTGGGCATCGTCCGGCCCGAGGCGCGGTTACAGGCGGCCGCGAGGCCGGGGATCCGGCTGGGGAAGGCGCCGAGAGACCCGGCACGCGAAGGAGAGAGGCCGGAGACCACCCCCCCCCCCCCGCACCTCCACGTACGCGGGGCCACCAACGGCTGGGGCAGAAGCCACGCTCGCTGCGACCGGCGCTGCAGCCGCCTCAGAGCCAGTGGCGAGGCCGCCGCCCCCTCTGGGCATCGGAGAGGCGCCGGCTAGAGCGCCCGCGGAGCCGCCATCTCAGGTGAGGGCAGGGCGGTGGGCAGCTCTTCTGAAGCCTGTTCCGCCGAGAGAAGCCTCACGGGTCGCCCCGCCGCTTGCTTTCGTCGCTCCCACGGGAGTTCTTTTGAGCTCACGTTCTTGGGCGGTGCGGCCCGACTTGGTAGTGGCCCCAGCCGTTTCCAGCTCTCCTGCCAGGATCCAAAATGTCTGCGCCCAGGGAGGGTGGCCATCTAGCTCTGCGCCTCTATGGTAACACAGCCGGAGCGCCCAGCTGGGATTGATTTGAAAAGTGGAGGGCGGGGTGGTTTTCCGCCGGTCGCGGGCGACGCCAAATGTCCCGGAGGTGGTGCGGGTGCCGGAGCCTGATCTTTATTCCCCAAACGGACTCTAGCCTCACGTCTGCACTTAAGGCAAAGTTCTCTGAGCGCGTCGAAGCTACTCCTGCCAATGATTACTTTGCGCTCAGTCACAAAAGCCCTTCTTCCTCCTCCCCTCCATGCTCCGAGGTCCCTCAGAGATCCGCTCCGAGTAGAATCCGCTCCGCGGAGTCTCGCTAGATCGATCCCCTCGATCACAGTCAGCCACCCTCTGCTCCCCGGACTGTACCGTGCACGGTACCCTGCATAGTTGTTTGTGTTTTTCTTTGCCTTTGTGAATTTCCAACTAGAATGTAAACGCTCTGAGGGCAAGACCGTGTATCACTGAGCGCTTCCGATGTCCCTCCAGGGTCTGGGGCAGCGCTGTGGGTTCCAGAAACATGCGGTCAGTCTGTGTGGAGTCAGAGCCAAGAAGAAAGTGAAAACTGAAGAAGCTTTGAGTCGTTAGTTACCAGCTGCCCCAGGACTAGGGAGGGAGGGAGATGTAGTGCTTCTCACCCACCTTCTGAAAATGTCTCTTAGGGACTCTGCCTGTTGTGACATCCGCCGGAGGGAACAATAGAATGTGCCTTATCACCTCCAGACGCCTCACAGTCCCATTGAAGATTCGGGATTTGGAAATCAGCAGGCTGATCCACGCTCGAAGATTCGGGATTTGGAAATCAGCAGGCTGATCCACGCTCGAAGATTCGGGATTTGGAAATCAGCAGGCTGATCCACGCTCGAAGATTTGGGATTTGGAAATCAGCAGGCTGATCCACGCTCGAAGATTCGGGATTTGGAAATCAGCAGGCTGATCCACACTCGCTGGCCCTCCTGAATTACTGACCCACCCACCCCCTCTCTCCTCAGGGCAGGTTACATCAAACAAACAGCTTGTTTGAGCTAAATAGCCGGGGCCAAATTATTTATTTAACCATAAGCCTTGTTATCTTCGAGAACAGAAGGAAATCACTTCCCTTCACATTTTCCTATCTCTCTCCCCCAGAGCCCCTGTCACATCTTCATTTTTTCAGGTCTCCTTGAACTGTACCGCTTCCTCTGTTCCCTCTGTGAGTGCTCATAACCTTGAGTTGATTTCCCAGCCAATAAATCCTGGAGTCAACTTTTGCCCTTTTCATTCCCTCGATTTTTAGATCTATCTACTTATCCATATGTTAATGTTTACTGAGCACTTGCTATTTGCCAGGCCCCTTTTAGGTGTTTGGGATACTTAAAGACAAAACAAACAAACACCCCCTCCTTTCCTGGGGGATACAATCTAGCAGGGGAAGAGAGATTAAAAAACAAAACAAAAAAAAGTAAATGGGGCTGGATACCTGGGAGGCTCAGTAGGTTAAGAGTCTGACTCTTGATTTTGGCTCAGGTCATGATCTCTCGGGTTGTGAGTTCAAGCCTTGTGTTGGACTCTGTGCTGACAGCTCCGAGCCTGGAGCTGCTTCGGATTCTGGGTCTCCCTCTCTCTCTGACCCTTCCCCACTCATGCTCTGTCTCTCTGTCTCTCTCTCAAAAATAAATATTAAAAAAATTCTTTTAATGGAAACTAATTTGACAATAAACTATTTGTAAAAAAAATTTTTTTTTAATGAACATTTGGGGGCACCTGGGTGGCTCAATCGGTTAAGTATCCAACTCTTAATTTTGGCTCAGGTCTTGATCTCACAGTTCATGAGCTCAAGCCCCGCATCAGGATCTGCACTGACAATGTGAAGCCCCCTTGGGATTCTCTCTCTGCCACTCCTCTGCTCGCTCTCTCCCTCCCTCTCTCTGTCAAAATGAATGAATGAATAAAGAAAACGAAAGAAAGAAAGAAAATAAACTTAAAAAATTGAAAACAATTAGATCTTCAAATTTAAAAAAGAAAAATGGACATTTGGATTATACTGTTGAAAGTTTTGGGAGGGGCACCTGGGTGGCTCAGTGGGTTGAGCATCCGACTTCGGCTTAGGTCATGATCTCCCAGTTCGTGGGTTCAAGCCTCACATCGGGCTCTGTGCTGACAGCTCAGAGCCTGGAGCCTGTTTCAGTCTGTGACTCCCTCTCTCTCTGACCCTCCCCTGCTCACACTGTCTCTCTCTCTCTCTCTCCTAGAAATAAATAAAACATTTAAAAAAAAAATTAAAAACAAAAAGAAAGTTTTGGAGGCACCTGGGTAGCTCAGCTGGTTGAGCATCTGACTCGTGATTTTGGCTCAGCTCATGATCTCTTGGTTCATGAGATCAAGCCCTGTGTTGGTCTCCACGCTGACAGTGTAGAGCCTGCTTGGGATTCAATCTCTCTCTCTGTCTCTCTGTCCCTCCCCCTTCCCTGCTTGCACATGCCTCTCAAAATAAATAAACATTTTTTAAAAAAGTTTTCCCCAGGGGCGCCTGGGTGGCTCAGCCAGTTGAGCGTCCAGCTTCGGCTCAGGTCATGATCTCACGGTTCGTGGGTTCGAGCCCCGCGTCGGGCTCTGTGCTGACAGCTAGCTCAGAGCCTGAAGCCTGTTTCGGATTCTGTGTCTCCCTCTCTCTCTGACCCTCTCATGCTCACGCTGTCTCTCTGTCTCTCAAAAATAAATAAAACATTAAAAATTAAAAAAATAAAAATAAAAAGGTTTCCCCAGTTCCTTTTTTCTTTTTTAAAAATATTTTTAAAAATAATCTCTACACCCACGGTGGGACTCAAACTCACAACCCTGAGATCAAGAGCTCATACCCTACTGACTGAGACAACCAGGCACCCTTCCCTCCCAGCCCCCATTTCTTTTTTTTTTTTTAACTTTTTAAAATGTTTATTTTTGAGAGACAGAGACAGAGCATGAGTGGGGAGGGGCAGAGAGAGAGAGGGAGACACAGAATCCAAAGCAGGCTCCAGGCTCCGAGCTGTTTGCTAACAGAGCCTAACATGGGGCTTGAACCCACGGACCATGAGATCACGACCTGAGCTCAAGTCAGATGCTTAACCGACTGAGCCACCCAGGTGCCCCTCCCCCTCATTTATTTTGTACGTAAATAATTTATGTGGCATCAGAGTGATTCTCTGGGAGAAGGTGTCCTAGGGACTAGTCCAGTGCCTGGTGCATAGTAGGTGCTTAACATGAGTCCGCGAACTCAGTGAGTGATAGTGGCCAAGAGCTCTTGGTCTCTTCCTTTGAAGACCAGTGTCGCAACTGGTCTCTGTGCTTCTGTCCTTCGTCTCCTCCAGCATTTTTAGCCCACCCTCCACATCCGCACCCCAGATCCCCTGGTTAAAGGTCTCCGGGGCTTTCCCCTGCCCACAAGCCCGAACTCTTCAGCCCAACCTGGCCTAAGTCTCCGTGCCCAGCTCCTGCTTTCTCTGGGCCCGTGGCTTCCAGAACAGTTTGCCATTTATTGAAAATAAGGTAGTTTCTGGTGGCTGAAAATCTTTGTAATTGCCACTGTGATTTCTTCTTTGTTCTGTTTTTTTTTTTTTATGTTTATTTATTTATTTTGAGAGAGACAGAGACAGTGCGAGACAGGGGCAGAGAGAGAGGGAGAAAGAGAATCCCAAGCAGGCTCATGAAAGTCATGAAGCTGTGGGGGCGCCTGCGTGGCTCAGCCAGTTGAGCGTCTGACTTCAGCTCAGGTCATGATCTAGCAGTTTGTAAGTTCGAGCCCCGTGTCAGGTTCTGTGCTGACAGCTCAGAGCCTGGAGCCTGCTTCAGATTCTGTGCCTCCCTCTCTCTGCCCCTCCCCAGCTCATGCTCTGTCTCTCTCTGTCTCAAACATAAATAAATGTAGAAAGAAAGAAAGACAGAAAGAAAGAAAGAAAGTCATGAAGTTGTGTGGTCGTGACCAGAGCCGAAACCAAGAGTCGGCCACCAAAGCAGGCCACCCAGGTGCCTCTGTTCTATTTCTAGAAGTGTGTTGCTTGATTTTCAAACCTGGGGAAACTTCTGGTGATCTATTACTGATTGCTCATTTGATTCCCTTCGGTGAGAGAGCGCCAAGCATTCTGTTGAGGTTCACAGAGTTTCTGGAGCCTATGATACGTCATCTTTCACCAGATTTGGAAATTCTTGGCCAAGTCTCTTCAAAAGATTCCCTCCCCGCCATTCTGTCTTCTCCTCCTGGCACTCCCTCACACGTTCCATTGACCTTTTGACTATGTGTCTCATGCTATTTTCTGCTGGGTTACCTGGAGCCCCGCCAGGGATAGGCACGGTTTAGGGGCCAGTCAGCAACTGGAAAATAATTTGTTCACAGAACTGTGCAGCTCAGACCACCCTGGGAATTTGTCCACTGACGTCCCAGGCACTTTGGTGGCTCAGAGTCTGACATCTGTCTCTTCAGTTAAAACTGCTGCTTTCTGCTTAAACTTCATTGACCCCCAGCTTGCCCCCGCCACACAGTGGGGACATGAAGACGCCCTCAGGGCAAAGGCCAAGTGACTGGAAACTTCCTTCACAGTTACTTCCCTCCCATTAAGGATCACAGCTCTCAAGGCTTCTCTTCCCTGGGTGCTCTGTAGTCCCGTATATTGAACAGGATTTTCATATGTTTGTCCGGCTTTTATTCGGTGGAGGCGTTAGTTGGATACCAGCTTCTCTGGCATGGTTGGAACCAGAAGTCCTGAGTGTGTCTGGATGTGACATCTGGGCTCAGAAGGCCCATTGCCAGGATCATCCCCTGGAAAGCTCCTCCTTTTTTAAAATTAAAAAAAAAATGTTTATTCGTTTTTGAGAAAGAGACAGAGACAGTGGAGCAGAGGAGGGAGAGAGGGAGACCCAGAATCCGAAGCAGCTCCAGGCTCTGAGCTGTCAGCACAGAACCTGACGTGGGGCTTGAACTCACAAACTGCTAGATCATGACCTGAGCTGAAGTCAGACGCTCAACCGGCTGAGCCACACAGGAGTCTTGACCCTCAGGTTCCTGGATCCGTGGAAGCTTCGGCCAATGGGAGGTGCAGGTGGAGACCGGAGGTGGAAGGAAGGAAGAAGCCGGGGTATTTCTTCCCTTGCTCCCTGCCCGGCGGGTGGCGTCAGCATCAGCTGCACCGCACCAGTGGCTCGAGTGCTTACTAGATGAGGCCTCCATGCTTTTGGCAGCTACGACCCTGTGAGCATCTCCGGGGAGGGGTCTGGCCCTCGTCCCCACCGGCTGTTGCTCACCGCCCCCCCCCCCAGCTGGCTTCCCAGCCTTTTTCTGCCTCTGTGCCACCAACCCCGCTACGTGAAACTCTCTCTAATTTTGAGCCTCCGGAGTGGTTTCTCTTCTGGCTGCACCCCGACTAAGGCCTTTCTTGCCCTTCCCGCCTCACCCTCCTCACTCTTCCTTTCGGGCCCATGTGTATTGAACCCCTTTGGCTGCCTGAGCCTTTATTCATCCCGTGTGACTCCCGCACCGTACCTCCCCTGCAGTGTTGCAGGGGTGTCCCTGAGGGTAAGGCTGAAGTGCCCCGATGGCCCATGGGGGTAAAGAGCAGCTACTGCTTTTTTAAGTCTTTTTTTAAATGTTTATTTATTTTTGAGACAGAGGTGGGGGGAGAGAAGGAGGGGCAGAGAGAGAGGGAGACACAGAATTCGAAGCAGGCTCCAGGCGCCAAACCATCAGCACAGAGCCCCATGTGGGGCCCGAACCCACCAACCTCGAGATCATGACCTGAGCCAAAGTCGGACACTTAACCAAATGAGCCCCCCAGGCGCCCCACAACTACCACCTTTAGCCACGGAAAAGTGAGAAGCAGCCCGAGTGCCCCCTCGATAGCACCACAGCTGAATCGATGATGGCGCCTGCACACAGTGGAGAATTTGGCAGCTCTGGAAAAGTTGGCTTCTGAAAGAATCACTGATCACGTGAGGGACGCTCGCCTATGATGTGGCTTGAACACCGTGGCAGGCAAACCTGATTGAGAAATGATCTGGGGGGGGGGGGGCGCCTGGGTAGCTTAGTTGGCTTAGCGTTTGACTTTTGATTTGGGCGCAGACCATGAGTTGGAACATTATTGGACTCCATGCTGAGCATGGTGCCTTTAAGATTATCTCTCTCCCTCTGCCCCTCCCCCAACAATCACTTGCTCTCCCTCTAAAAAATAAATTAAATAAATAAATAAAATTCCAAAAAAAAAAAAAAAGATCTGTGTGGGGGCACCCGGGTGGCTCAGTCAGT